GCAGCTCAGCAATGAAAGCCCATGAGTATCCTGCCGACAGGGTCGAGAGATGGCTTGACTCTGGATGCGACAGAAGACTGGCATCGGCAGCATGCGCAACTTGGGCGGGAAATTTACTCAAGCTTCAGTGTCCTTTTAAGATGGTACGGATCTCTTGTGCCCAAACTTACCGGTGGTAAGTAGGGAAAAAGGGAATGTAATCCCTCTGTAGCCCCATATACCATGTGCCCTTATTCCCTACAGATCCTCCACTTAGCAAATGAAGCCCTTAAGATTTCATCTTACTGGCTGTAGGGAATGCAGGAATATGATCCCTACATAACCCCTATATCAATAAGTAGCCTCCATTTCATCTTCCATTATCCCGACATGATATACTATATAAACCGATATACTATAGTAGCTTCCATTTTATTTTCCAGGCCCTACATACTATACTCCCTTTTCCCTGACCAACAGAAAGTCATGTCAGGTGGGACTGGCAGCGGCCAGGGCAGCCCAAAGTGGCCGCCTCACTTTGCACGCAAAGGATGCCAAGGCTGCCAAGGCGAGGAGCCCAGCAAAAGAGGTTATAATGGGGTTATATTGGGGTTATATAGGGGCTATATTGGTTTATATAGGGGTTATATTGGGTTATATAGGGGATAATGGAAAAGAAAATGGAAGCTACTATTTAGGATTTAGGGTAGGCTAAACCAAGCTCCGTAACGTTAGAGGAGGGTTAAAATCCTTCAAGGGGGAGGGTCATGTAGGGTTCAGGGATATATAGGGCTTGGGGTCTAAACTCCTGAAACGGGGTTATATAGGGGAAGATTTAAGGGATTATTCTAGGGGTTATTAGGGGGGATGCTTTGAGTTTAGAGCTAGTGTCAGTATTAGCCTGATTAAGGGAGCATTGGGGGGGGTGGACATTGGTGTCCCTCCTGCAATTTAGTATAGTTCCTAAAATGGTCCCTAATAAGGAACCCATGCCCATTAATTATTTGTGTAATATTGACTTTAGCTCATATGGGGACACTGGAAAAGACGATACAATTACCATTTTATTATAGGGTATATGTGTATATATTCGTTGGGGGAGTATATCGAGGTTATATAGGGGAGGTTACCCAACATGATGGAAAATCAAACCGAAAAGAACATGGAGGGGAAATTGATACTATACATGGGGATAACTAGGGGTATAGTATCCTACTAATGAAGAAGGAAACTAGGAATCTATAGTGGCTTCTGGGGCCTACATGCTTTCGGCCATGTTCGTGCAAGGGAATGAAAGATGCAAGTGTCCCAAGCTGCCAAGCCTGGAAAGCAGCTGGCCCAGTGTACGTCTGCATGATTGGAGCAACATTGCCGATGAGGAAAAAGCCGCACCCGGATCGGCAAAGAGCCGAATCGGCCAGGGCCCGAGTAGTTGCTCTTTGTAGGATCTGTGCAGCATTCCCTTCCAGAGTACAGAACAATTTTCATGGGCCCATTCCTGGCTGTCGGCCTGGCGCTTGTTACACTTTATCAATGCAGGCTTGCAATCTTGGCCGTTTACACGTACTGGCTAGCCAAGCTTCTCAACATACTGACTACGTGCTAGATGTGGCGAAAACGTGAGGAAAGAACACCCCGCCAATCATGAGGCCATGTCACTCGGATAGGCCCAGAGGGTCGGAGCAGGCAAGGCGTGGCTTTCGTGTTCAGGTATGGGGTTGGCTCTATTATGGCTGTCATTCTTGCCGGCCCTCTTCTCGGTGAGGTGATCTCACGCTCTTTTACTTGAGGCAGCATTGCCTATTTATCTCGCTTCGAGTTATGTAGGGACAGAGTCAGCAACAGCGGAGGCGGTGGCATCAGTAGAAATAACTGTGGCAGGTACTTGTAGCATACAGCAGCATCAGCAGCAGCAGGACAAGAGAGTAGCAAGAAGTCTTAGTGGGGGCAGTCGGAGGAGGAGTAGGAGTGGAGTCGTCATAGTAACACTTAAAACAGGAGGTTCAAGAATCCCCGGGGTTTGCCTGCAGAAGGTTTTTTTCAGAGTTAGATCAGCCAGTTCCGAGACGCAAAGCTGGGTTGCTTTGTAAGTAGAAGCCATCGAGAACCTACGGAAAAAGCCACAATGGGGATCAGCTATACGAAGCGAAAGCACTGCAAAAAGCAAGACAAAGCCAGGGACAAGCTAAATAAAAGCTATAGGGTGAAAGGTTGAAAGCTCCACACGATTCCCTCAAGCGTCAGTTGGCTTTGGGTTCTTGCAGCCACTCATAGCGTTTGCGGTTTGTTCCGGCTTTGCTTCAAACCATCATTTCAGGCCATGTTTTGGGCATCAGCCGTCCTTGTTCGCTAGCAGAATTCGATTGAGCTTGCCTGGCCTTTCACAAAACACGGTGCCGGCGTTCTCTCCAGTACTCATGGCGCAGAGGACGACGTTGCACACCTTGTGCAAAAGGTCATCTTCTCAAAAAGTGGCGTGAGCGAAGTGAATGAAATGAGCGCACTCATCTAAATTGTTTCACTCATTCACTCACAGCACAGCTTTATGTATTGTTATCCGAGTTGTCAAGACATGATCAAAGGACTTCTTGAATCACCTGTATTTAAGATTTCCGTTAAGGTAATATCCCAGCAGAATTCTTTCCAGGCATTACCGATGTTGTTATGCTCCTTTCGTTGTCTTTTATTATTGCGTTCATGGTGGTTTCTCATTTCATTCCCTCAATCTTAGGATAACCTTTTACGTTAAGACTACTATCGTGTGATAGAAAAGGTTTGCTAGAGATACTGATCCTTGAAATACTTGAAATGAAGATATCTTAGAAATTCCTCGTCTCAGAAGCACTAGGAAGTTATTAAAACCCTTACTCCTTCTAAACTTACAGATGATTACAGGAAATCCAACCCTCGTATTTGTTTCTTGTCACGCCCCCCTTGTCACCCATGCCACTCCCTTTGTGATTTGAATCTCGTGAAAGGGACGCATGGAATGAGGAAACCAACCATATGACCGTAGCCGCGAAGAAGGAAACGACCTCGTGGCGTACCTTCGCGAGCTTCGTGAATTCTCTATAGTTCATCTATTCACTACGTTCACTTCGTTTCGGGGCATAATTGATTGAGTTAATGAATTAATTTGTTCATTGGTTCTCTCGCGCTTTCAATTCGCATAATGTTTATTCACTTTCTTTGTTTGCGCAAGAGGGAGCGAAATAGAGTTAATTTAATGGTTAAACGATGAGGGAAATGGGGGTAGTAACGCCACGAAATCCTACTCGCCCACCGAATAAATTTAATGGTTCACTGGCGCTTATGAGTTCCCACCACTGCATTTAAGCGGCCAGGAACAGCACTGAACCTACAACACAAATTGCTGATGTGTGTAATTTTAGGGGAAGGGGATGTTCTGATGGACGGTGCTGGTGCTGGTGAACCTACATAGATTCCTGATGTGGGATTGTATGTGGTGAGAATGTTATTATGGAGGATGCTGCTGCTGCCGCTGCTGCTGCCGCTGCTGCTGCCACTGCTGGTGCTGGTGTGCTGCATTAGGTGTATTGGAGGAGGAACAGTAGTAGTGGTGGTCGTCGTCGTGTTCGCAGTGGTGGTAGTCGTAAGTAGAAGTGGTAGCAGTAATAAGATTGAAGAATGACACGAAGGTAATTGAAGCTGAAGCCCGCCCCCCAAACAGTAGATATAGTTCTGGTAGTATTCGGAGTTTGGGTAGGAGGGGTGCAGAGCAAGAGCAAGCATGCAGCGACGAGAGGCTGCCTTCATGGGCAAAGCATCCGACTCCGGTGGCATCTGCCGGTACAGTGGGCTTGCCCTCTGCACCAGACGCTCACAGGGAAGGCTATGCTGACCCCAAGGCAAGTCACTGCACAGCAAGCAGGGACGAACCAGAATCAACGTGCGAGCTTCGCACGAGCCAGCAGAAAGCGACAAGTCAAGTCAAACTTCCAACCAGAGTTCTTCTAACCACTGTATGGAGTGCTGTCCCTACGCTGGCTCAGTGGAGAGTACTCCTTGTGCGCATGTCAGTCTATGGGCCAAGATGTCCTGCCCAAGTGTGTCATGAGAGCATGCGTAACATGTACGAGGTGGGTATACAGAGTGGACCTCCATAACTCGTGTCATAACAGATCTTAGGCTAATGTTGCATCCCGTTATGCTCGGATACCCTCTTGTGCGTCAAGATTTCGGGGACTATTCAGGACAGAGTAAATGTTTGGGGTATCCTCTTTAATGTCAAGTGTTGGGGACCAAACTGATAATTTTATAGGTATGAAGACAAAACATTTAGTTTTCATTCTAATACTAATGCTAATACTACGACTTATACTCCGCAGACTTCTACCAATAGGATTCAGCTGAGACCCTTAAACAATTTTGATTCAGGACGCCGTAAAATGTTTGGGGGTGCAAACATTGAAGAGGGTGCAACATTAGGACTCAGTTGCTGCAGGCCCGAGGCCCCAGGTTCAGCACACTGCCGCCACCTCCCAAAGAGCCCTTGCCTTACAAGTCGTTTACCTTGCAGCTGCCTGGCAAAGTATTGGGGGGGTACCTCAAAACGCCCTGAGCAGCAGGGCTTGAAGCAAGCAGGGGAGTTTCTTTCCGAGGCCATACAGACCTCACTACGGCGCGCTGCAGCCTGCCCTGAGGAGCTCATGTTCCGGGTTTAACTGACCCTGCAGACATGTAATTCTACAGTTGGATTCTCTGAGGGAGGTTTGAGGGGCAGCGGGCTTGGCCTCAGCCAGTCCATACTACTGAGCAGGCGCAAGCAACTTGGCCAATTGCTTGTCATTCAGGAGTCGACTCGACAACACACAAGACATCCGCCACCTCGCCGAATTGGAAACTGCATGCACCTTGCGGAATGTTTTGCGATCTGAAGGCCTGGAAAGCTCCATGGGGGAAGTATTGCCCGAAACTGCGGACACCATTTGTGACGAAGCTGCAGTCATGGCTCTAACCAAAGTACTGCGGGAGCCCATTGCTGAGCCCTGGGTCAAGGTATGGTCCCAGAGCCCTACGTACGAGCACAACGTCCAGACCAGTTCCTTGGACCAAACACTTGCAAGAATGCAGTGTTTGAATGTGCTGCAAGTAGAAAGAAAAACATTAAAAGGCTCGGTGGTGTGGAGTTCTTTGGATTGTTCCCTCAGGGTCGGGACCACAAATGTGTGCTTAACTTGGCAAGCTGCCACAGTATGATTCAGCGGAGCTTCTCCTTTGGCTCATATGCAATGAGAGAACACTGAAGGCCCAATCAAAGCAAGTAGTTATTTGACACAACTGATTGACATCAAAAGCAAGGCGCGTGCGCGCTGTTTCCGTGCTTGCCGACAGTGAGGAGCAAGGGACCGGGGAGAGAGCACTTATCACTATTCAGGGATCATCAGAATGGGCCAGCCGCCATTGCGTGATACACGCCTCGTACCATCCGCAGGGAACACATGACTAGTTTGTCATGACGTCATGTTGTTGGCTCCCTTGCGCCAGGCACTGACAGACACCTTGGAAAAGAAGGGTGTGTGGTTCAGACCAGCGCAGAAGAAGAAGGCGCTTCCTAAAATTCTGGAGCCCCAAATTTCTCAAACCAGAGAAGCGGATTGCAAGGAGCTGTTCCGAAAAATGACGGACGACGAGCTGCGAGAACGTCTGCGTGACATCGCGGCCTCTTGACCCACCCGTTTGCAGATTTTGCAGGCAGCATGTGAAAAAGCCTGCAGTCGCATGCTAAGGAGCTCGTATCCGGATCACGGAGAGAGCTGCTGGAGCGACTTCACGGCCACCTGGTGTTACTTCATGGTGGGAACAGAGCTCATGGCCTCTACCAGACACAAGCTCATGGCTAAGTCGCTTGCTTCGCTGTGGATCTCTGCCTCTGTGAGATCCTTCTTGGAACGTCACGTGAGCTACTGTCAACGTTAGCATCACTAAGGGAGCATGAAGGGTGGACATAGGGGTGCCTTTGCTAGTTTAGTATCGACCCGAATATATTGTCGATTTAAAAAATTCTGGAAATATTGACTCGAGCTCATGTATGGCGTCCTTCCGGCAGGAAGGCCTAAGAAGGCCCTTGACCCAATGACGTAACGCTGTCTAACGGCGAGGAGCTGTTTCTTCATGAAACGTCACTGTGGCCAGGCAAGAAAGCGGATGTAATCACCACTTGGTCCAAAGACAGGGTGGAGACCGAGTGCCAGCGCTTAGGATTCTCGGCAGGCACCCAGAACCGTTTGAATTCTTGTTTTGTATTTTCTGCGAAAATGCAGGCAGTCAGGTGGGAGGATGTGAGGTCCTGAAGCCTGGCTCAGGACTACAAGTCCTGGAAAAGAAGCAAGACAACGTCAAGAACATCAGAAGTGCTCTGAAGCTGAACCGAATTTCCAAGCTTAGCGATGAGGATTTGATCTACGAGCTCCTTGCGTTGCAATGAGCAGTGGACTTGTCTTCCGCGAGCCGATTGGTCTTGTCCTGCAGCGGCTCCTTGCTTTGCACCAGGCTGGCTTATCGCGGACTAGAAGCGGAGGACAGCCGAGAGGACAGCGAGAAGAAGCTGCAAGCTTATTTGGATGGCCGCCTCTTCGACTAGCTGACGCTCCACATTGCAAATAAAAAATGCAGTAGCAGCGATCCAGGTGCCTAGGGCTGAAACGGGCTCATCTAGTACATTGACATGTAGGACTGTACGAAAAGATGTCTGTGCTTGTAATGCCTGGTGGCATTTCCCCTTCCCTTCTTTGCCAGGCTCTGAGGGGGCACTCCCATACCCTTCCGCCAGGCTCAAAGACAACAGCCAGCTACCAGCTTGTACGTAACAATGCCGCAACGGTGCTGGGAAGAAAGCAATTCACAGGCAGAGTGGGGTCTTGCCAGCATGTGTACCTCTTTTGCCAGTCACCAGCTATCAACATACTGGCAAGACAACAGAAAAGAAGTCCGAAGTCAGCTTGGGAACAGCTACAATACAACGCACAGCAGCCGCGCTTTGGATCTGGCCCTGTGACAGCAGCCATGGTCACCACGTCCTGCCCTCCAGATCTGTTGGACTACTGACTGCCTTTCTACACGGATGGATTCGTGGAGTGCAGCCGCAGCCGCTTGAAACACACAGACAGTTACTGCAACCCAGAGTAATTGTGGTAACTATCCAACTCTGGTCTAAGGGCCAGCTTCACTGCAACCAAACAAAAAAGTTTCGGAGCAGGTAGACTCCCAGCGATCTTGATGTCATCAAAGGCCTTGGGTGCATTGGCTCCTCATCCTCCCCTTAGTCGCCACCTGGCCAATGAGGGGTAGCGCGATGTGTTGCATGTCAATGTTGCATTGCATTGAGGATGGAGGTAGCTATGTAGGTGCATTGAACTTGTAAAGCCTTCCTACGGACTTTTTCCTACGGACTCCCAAGAATGCTTTTCCTTTAGCAGCTCTTGAAGTCTTCCCTTGACACAACCACGTGCTTGGCAAAAGATGATTTCTTAGCGTGTTGAACTTTGATTTTCCTGCAAGATCGAAACCTTTGTAGTCGTCTCTCCAACATTGCCAAGAGAATCAAAGCAGAATTCCTACCTGAGGATTCTTCTTTGTATCAGTCGTGGTCGCAGAATTTTGCCAGAAACTTGCTACACCAAAATGAGCTTGGTTGTTTGATGCGCTTGTTAAAGCATGCTTCAGTACAGAAAAAGCTTGGGCTGGCGCACTTGCAAGTGCAGCGGAAGCATCCGCAGAAGGGTTTCCTCGGCGGAAGCTCCGCAGAAGCTCAACTTTAGATGCCAACACATACCTTTGGCACGCGTTCAAGTTCCCAGCGCTTTCGTGGAAGCATTATCAGTGCATCAGCTCCGAAAATACACTGCGGAATCACTCGCTGAAGTGTGGTCAAACTGTGTTGCCTCGGACGTGCCTTTAAGTCCTTACAAAGTATTGCCTCAGACAACAGAAGAAAATGCAAGGTGGACAGAGTGTTTTGGCACCTTCAGGGAAGTGGCAGTCGCTTCAGATACTCTAGCAGAAGCTGCTGAAGTAGCAAAATTAGTTCAGACTTGAGCATGCTGAATGTTGAGATGAAACATCGCAACAGGCATAAATAGACAGAGGATAGTATCACGCGAACCGCTAACCATACTTTTCTCACTCCGCCGCGCCATGAAACACTGTCATTGGTTAAGCTAGAATTGGGTTATATTGGGTTTAAACATTGGGCTTTGGAGAAGAAATGTCAATTTCGCCCAAAAATTGCGCCAAAAATTGCGGGAAAATACGCGCACATTGAAACCAATGACGTGATGTGGCAAAAGCTCAGGGCTTTTGCATTTCGGCAGGGTGGCGGGCATGTATAAGATGAAAAAACACCAAGATTGGGGATTGGGGCGGTGGGTCAGCCACCTGGCAAGGACTACCAACCCAATCCCCTTAAAATCCTTTACAAGTCAAGAAACAGATTATTCCCCAAAGCTCTACTCAAAATGGGCCTCTACATATAGTCCTCCTTAAGTAGATAGAATATGGCTTTGGGTATTATATAACAAGATCCCCATATACCCCATATTCTATCTACTTAAGGGGGACTATACCCGTAAACCCTAATCCCTAAACCCTAGATTCTATCTACTTAAGGGGGACTATAAGTATGGTTCCCTTCTCTGAGGCTCTGGAGTGCCTTTGCCAGCCATGGAGCCACAGGCCACAGCAAAATGCCTTGCCAACACAAGCTGGAATGTACCTGACTTGGCAGGGTCTCAAGTACTCGATGTAGGATATATAGGATCTATCATATCTATTCATATCTGGTTGTCAAAATTATGGTCCGTT